GTGGTGTTGGGTTGATGGTTGGACTAGATGATCTTAGAGGTGTTTTGCAACCTTAATGATTCTATTCTGTTCTATTCTATATGCGTCTGGCACAGTATGCTTATCTGCTGATCCAGATGGGACAGCCTACGTCACTCAAAAAAAGCTGTAAAAATTCTGACTGACAATTCATAATCAGACCATGTTCTTGTTTGTTAAACAACCAACCTGCTCCCAAAAAAACCCAGGTAAATGTTTCTGCTCCAGAAAACACTCAAATACCTGATAGAAAGAAGAAAACAGCCTGCTTTTTTTTTTTTTTTTTGTGGTGCTGGCATATGCATATATGTTTAGGGAAGCAGGACTACCTTCTGTTTCGCTAAGCTTAATTTTTTTCTGAACCAAACAAGCACCACTAAAGTCATTCTGAGGTGTCACTGCAAAAACAAGATTGGGTTGCTTTCTAAGTTTAATCTCATACCAGCTGTGTAAGAAGTTTTTTAAAAAAGAAACAACTGACAATACCAAACAAAACCCGCACCAAAGCTTTCAGGCCACAGTTGATCAGCCTTAACTGACTGATTGATCATCTCTATGAAGAAAGAAGTCTGGCTTGCTTAACTCCTGGTTACAACTCCTTACATAAAAATATATGATTAATTCTGAGCATAAAACATGGCTAAGACCATCTCTATGTATAGTTTTGCATTGGTAGGGAATAGTTTTGTGGTAATAAGTTTGAAAATCTTCAAGTCCTTAAATTGGAGTGATGCAGAAATAAATGATCTGGTACATGGATTAAAGTAAATACTAGTTTGAACATGAAGTTAAATGCCTCATAGTGCAATCCAGCAAATGTTGCTTCAGTAACATAGGAAATGGAGAACTATTACCTTTTTTTTTTAAACATGTGCTTTATTATTTGGAAGTCTCATACATCTGAAGTACCATTATAAGGAGCACCTGTAGGAAAATCAAACCTAGAAGCATGCATTTGAAAGTAAGGATTGTCTGTTAGTGTCTGAAATATTTCAAAGACATTGAAAATAAGCATCTTTTCTTAGCTTTACAGGATTGTTCCACAAAAATGCACATTAACCTTATCACAGTACGTACAAATATTGTGGATGGATAATAGAAATCACCACCCTTCCATATGAGATGCATCAAGGACAAACAGTTATCCCTTATAATGTCAGAAACATAAAAGGCACCATAATAGAATGTTTAGAAAAAACTCAGTTTATGCCATTATATTTTGATTTAAAAGTGTAAGAATTGCTGTCCCGACTTAAAACAAAAAGCCTTTCACACCTGTAAATTATCATTAGAAACTTGTAAATGTTTACATTTTTTTCCAGAATTACCAGGTGCAAATGCAAGGCAAATATAAAATCTATTGACTTATTCGATTACAAATACTACCCCATGAAAAAGCTGTAGTTACAAAAATATAAAAAAATATTCTAACTCCCATTGTTAGATCTTAGCTTCAGTCTACACTGCATTACGAGTCCAAAGCCAGATCTGATTTGGACACATTCCTAGAAAAGGAAAGTGCTGTTTGTCTTATTTTTACACCAATATTCTGGCCTCTTACTACGGTTTTGCTTTCTGGTTTTGTTTTGTTAGTGCATATTAAGGATGCCAAGTGGAGAGCGCTAACAGATAAAAGGTTGTATTTATCCATGGATAGTAGCAACGTAAGTGTTCTCAGTCTGCTGCCCTCCAAGAAGTCCATTTCTCTAAGGATAAAAGTACATTTTTTTTTCTCCAAGCCTCCACAGTAACTTTGTGTAGCAGCGTGCCATTTTCATTTATGAACCTGTGACCACTGGCAGGTGATTGAGAAGTACGAAATTCTTCTCACAGACTTCAGTAAGGAGCTGTGAGAAGTACACGAACTGCTAATGCTGTGTCATAGACTAGTAGCTGCTGTTGCAAGGACAATTATTGGCAACATCTCTTGTCTTCCACACATAATAGGTTGGCACATGCCTTATGCATATGGTGATTCTCTAGCCCTTGGCTTCAGTAACCTGGATCAGCATAGGATGTTGAACCAGCTACATACAAAGGTAGCCTAACAAAGTGCTAGTAGACATTAAAAAGAGTTTACTTCTAAATAATAACTTAAAATTAATGACTAGATTAAGTGAGATATTCTTAATGAATAAACTTTGTAATGCTAAGCCTAAGCCTGACAAATGCTAATGCTTTCATGGCTGAATACTGGAAGCTATGTTCCTTCAGTCCTTTATCAATGCTAGCAGAAGGTGTCCAGCTTCCAACTCCAGAGAAACTGAAGCCTTCTTTCTTTGGGCAGGGAAACTAGCATAGATTAGTAGAGTAATGCAGCTGTACACCTAGATAGCAACCTGGTTTAGCTGGGTTTTAATAAGCACTCAGGATCATTCAGCCAGCAGTATGACTGTGGAAGATTTAAGAGTGAGCGGTACTATCATTACCTTTATGTTTGGTGCAAGACATTTTCCTTTTAATACCTTTTCCTTCATTAGAAACCACCCCCAGCATTTCTCCTGGTAACAACCTCCGTTAGTCCTTGCCAGTTCAAGCTGGATTTTGGCCAGCTAACGTGTCTCTGAGTCACGTGGTTCCAAACAAATGTTCTCCATAGATAAAGCAATCCTGAAGTAGTGTTGTATTTTTACCCTGCTTGAAAGGATTGACAGTACTCACGTCTGCTTTGAGACAGTAACTTATTATGTTCTGTGTATGTAAAAGATATGAGTTAACAGGAGACTCCTAGAGTTGTTATGAGAGGAAGTGTTAAGCACTCTCATCTTATGCTGCAATAATGTGTTGAATAGCATATGAATATGAAGCTACTATTCCTCATTATGTTTCAGTTTCATAAAAGTAGGGTTCAGGCAGACACCATGTTCACTCCTCTGATCAAAACTGTATATTCCACTCAGATGATGCTGTGATGGCAGGATTTAACAGAAGTTCAAAGGTATCTGCACACATCTGCCAAAGATTTTTTTTTTAAATAAGCACGCTGTACCTACATGCTGAATCAGATTTGGAGAACACTTCAGCAACCAAAAACACAACAGCAACAAAAAAGATTAAACCAAACAATACCTATAAAGTAGGCTTTTGAATTTTTGTTTAGTAGAATTTTAAGATGGGAAACATGTTCCTAGCTGAACAATTGCTCTTGGCATTTCTGTTTTGTAAAAAAAAAACCCACGCAACAGTAGTAATTTTAATGACCAACTCCCTTCCCCAACCTATTGAGTCAAAAGTTCACAAATGTAACTTCCAATCAAGGCACAAAATCATTTACTGACTCTTTCTTCCACCACTTTCTTCACATTCTTCCCTTCCCCTTAAAAAAACAGTTGGTGTAACAGTGTCTTCTATACCAGACATTAAATTTAATAGTCCAATAAGTTGTAGCAGTATCTGAGATTGGTTCTATCTATTTTGAATTTAGTTAAATTAGACCACCAGCACATTCTTGGCACATCTTTGCTCATTTTCTGCATTCGCCTTGAAGGGGAGGGGATGAGGGGAAAAAGCCACAGTAGTTTCATGCATATTTTTCAAGAAACTTTATGTGGAAGTCTTTCACTTTCTCCAGTAGGATCTTCAGCTTCTCTACTGGAGGAAGAATGGTCATTCTGAAAAATAACATTCAGGGAAAGAAAAAAAAAAAACAACGCACATTATCTTCAAAATGAACTAAACTGTGATCTTTGCACAGACCTTGATTAATATCAGCTAGTAATGTGTTAAGTTTAATATCTGTTGTGATGTGATTCTCTTATTTTCTGTGTTTATGGTGTAATTGAACTACAATATTAAACTAGAGCAATTTGTTTCAATTGGTTAATATATAGGAATTAAAGGATTGTTGAAGAATTGAGTGATAAAGAAGGTCATCAGTGAGAAATAACAGCAACTCAGTTTCCATTTTTGCGGCAGTTATGCCAAATTATACTCATTTTTTTGAGCTTTAGGGTCGGGCAGTTATGAGTAAATGTACATTTCTTTTTGAACTGAAGAGTTAATTCAGAAGCATTAAAACAATGCAACATCCCACACTGCAGTTTTTAGTCCCTCTTTCCTTCTTCTGGATAATCTGAAAATCACATTTACTATGTATGCAAGACTGTATGCAAGAACTACAAAACAAAATGTTTTTCCCACACTGGTACAGGAATGGACTCACACTAGCTTTTTCCTGGAGCTGCATGCACCCAGATATCTAACCCAGCTATCCGTGTTGCAGAACTATGAGGGCTAAGGGTACCCTCTGTTACGTTGCTTCAGACCAAACAAAACTAAATTCCATGATAAATTCTAGCTATCAGTGGCTCAGCTGGAGTAAAGTGCTGTTTATTGGAAGCAAGAGCAATAGAGTTTATGTTCACAGTTTTGGTATTAGAAGATTTAGTCCAACATCTTGTTTTGGTAAAGTGAAGAGTTACTCAGTGTGTTTAAAGAGCAGATTTATAGGGGAGATAGTGCATCTTTCACGCAGTTTCTCCATATGGAAAACACTGTTTCATCTCCCCTCCCCCAGAAGAAAGCAGGGCAATTTTTGTAATGCCTTAGCCAACCTTAAGATTCGAGTATAAGCTATTATTATTGTTTATATTTGTGGAGAAGGCATTTCAAATGTCAATGTGTAAAAATAGAATAAAGCTATGTCAGCAAGCTGTGAAAACACTGTAAAAACCTGAATAGCTCATCTAGCAGACTGAGTCTTTGACCTAGCTGTCAGTCTACAGAAAATGTCCAGTAGAAAGTGAGACAACGTAAACTGAAATAAAAATCCTTGTATTTAATCAGAAGAGAAAACACTGGGATGGTACTTAGCTTATTACAGTTCATTTGATTTTAAACAAACAGAAACTGTACCTGAAGTGGTAGCTTCCTTCTCTTTGGCCGAATCCACTTCCAGGTACAACACATATTCCGGTCTCTTCCAGAAGTTTCATGCAATAGAACATATCAGGTGCCATTTTATGAGCCTAAGGGAACAGATGTTTTGGAATTACTGAAGTCAAAGTATTCCAAATATATAGAATTTCATGATTGCTTTTCTTCCTGAAACTTTATCTTATATTATTAGTTTCTTGTTCTACTTACTAAAGATGATGAAGAACAATTGCTAATGGAACAGTTCACACTGTGAATTAAATAACAGTACTTCATGGAGGAACAAGGCTGAAGAACCTACACAAAACACTCGCTTCAAAAGAAAGGCTTTAGATATTTTTGTTTTTCTCGTCGACTTGCTTGTAACTTTTTGTCAAAAGTCTCAAAATTGTACTTATAAAAATCTAAGCCACTGACATTCGAGAAGATGAAATTAATTTGAGAGCTGTGTGTTCCAGTTCTGTTGGCAGTTACTATTTTTTTCCCCTGAATTATCTACTGACCTGAAAGCCCCCTGATTAATAACTATGGAAGTTCTTAAATACATGCAGGTTATATGCCTAATCAAAATCATCTGAAAAACAGCCCTATTTTTGTCCTCAGCTATGTTGATAAAATTCCCTTTAAAAATTAGTATTACACATTAGGTAACAGAGCTCTAGTTAGGAACAAAAAGACCTGTCATTTAGTAATATAGCTTACTGACCCAAGTACAAAAAAGGTATTGCACAGAAATAAAATTTGTAAGGAAACCTCCGTCCCTCTTTCCCACACTTGGGAATGGGGCTTCTTTTCTAGGGTCAGTAGCACACTGCCATTCACAATCCCTGTCGCATGTGCTGGCCTACCTAACCTGGGCACAGGCAGCAATTTGGAATTTGCACAGGTCCAGCTACTTGTCCACCCTATGACTTAATCTATTTAACATCCTTGGGTAACGTTCTCAATCTAGAAGCCTTACCACTGTGATGAAATGCTATGTTTTGTTTTCCTCTCCTAAAATAAAGGTCATGTTATATTTAAGATCATACGTAGTCAATGAAGTACTGCTTTTGTAACTACATGAGCCTACTCTATTTCTGGAATAAAAATTCATCATTAGAAGTGGCAGGCACAAGTGTGTGAAGGTTAAAATGGATTGGGGTAAAAATGACTGACTGACCTTTGCTTCCTCAATGGCTTTGGAAGGAATAAAGATCCGTGGGAAAGCATACATAGCTCCTTGAAGTGGATTGCAGTGAATTCCTGGTACCTTGTTAAACATGTCTTCGGTTAGTTTGGCTTTTTTGGCAAGATTGTTCAAGACAGACTCCTTCTCCTGTTTAAAAGGAAGGTGTTCAGACTGACATATTTGAAGTGGCAATAAAAACGCCAGAGAAAACTATGATGCTTCAAGAAGCCTTCACTGAATTAAGCACTTTTAGGGCTTTGCTGAGCTGTTAGAGGAAATGATGTTACTAATTCCAGTCGTACTCCTAAAGACAGCAATGCAAAAAGGCATTAGCAGAATACAACTACAGAGTGTTGTAGATAGATAATAACCTGCAGAAATCTCTATCTGCATGCCCTCTTCTTACATGCTTCCTTCTGAGCTTCCATTCTTGGCTATTTTTAGAGACCATGTTGGCTGAACTCAATCTGTATCTGACTCAATACTGTAATTCCTTAAGCCAGATTCAGTTTCATTTTTACAAGTGAGAAACTATATGTATACTTTAATACAGAATACCATGTTGTTCAGTATATAGAGGCATTGGATACCTAAGAACAAGGCTGATTTTATAACTGTATTTGAATTTACATTCCTGTTTAGATTTTAGTAAAAGCAAATCTTATTTAGTAATTCTTTTGTCATGCTAAACAGAGGAGAAATGTTGAATTTATCAGCAAGAAAGCTGATTTGATAATGCCACCTTAGCTTCTTTTGGCTCCTAAACAAAGGAGCCATAAAAGGAATAAAAAATAATTTCAAAAGTAGCCATATTGAGTTAATTTAAAATACCCTGCATAGTTCTGTAAATTGGTGTTATTACAGGATTGTCCAGGAAGAACGGAAAGAAGTCTGGTCTCAGTGCGTATTTTGAGTTCATAATACTTAGGATAGGTTTAGGAAATGCACAAAAGAACAAGCATGTTATTGCTGACCTTTATGAACTGTGAATAAGACTCTTCTCCAGGTACTGGAGGATTCACTACAATATCCATTGCTGCTTGTCCTGAGACTGGAGGACAAAGGCGAACAGAAAGCAGCTTAACAAGCTGTCCTTTAATTTCTGGGTGCAAGTTAATGACCTCCATGTAACCTCCTCTGTAGCCACATCTGTGATTAAAGTGAACAGAAAAGATCGGTTAACCTCAAGTGTATAAATACTGGAAAAGCAATGAAAACAACTGCAGAAGTGGAAAGAGAATTAATGAGGATCTTACAAGATGTAACATACAGGCTGCTGAAAAAGTTGCTATACTGATAATGTTTTAAGATGGAACTAAATGGTATGTCATTAGGCCCTAGTATCCCATACAGAGAAAATCGTGTACACGCAGCTTCCGTTAGGCAAGTTAACGATTAACTTGGATTGTTTGCTCTTCAGAACAAGAGCATATGGCTGTAGCAGCATTCATTTAATCAAAAAATCATTTTTCTTCCATCTCTTCCTCCCCAAAACAACCAAACCCAAACACTTGTAATATCAGATGTCCCAGTGATTCTTGAGCTGTCCCTTTGAATGTTGGAGACCGTATTTGCCTTTATCACAGGTCCGGTTTCGGACTGTAGGATTTCACTTTTGTGGAACTGAGGCATTAAGTGTCTGAAAAAAATACACTTACTCAGTACTTTGAAAACCACTGAGCTAATCCATTACTCTGGGCTTTAAATGCTTGGTTTCCTTTTCTTAATAGTTTTTACTGAAAATTAATATAAGACAGTGGATTACCTTCAGGTCACTAACATGAAACGGCTGTCCAACCAGATTAATGAGGAAGATGAAATAAAAAACTAAAGCAGACTTACTCGCCCATGTATCCCTTAGAGGTGGAGTGAAAAGAGGCCAGCTCAACATTGTTATAGTACTCGGGTCCCATCTCATACAGAATCTTTTTGAAAGAATGAAACTGGCATCCTTCAGAGTACACATTGTCCTGGTAAACCTGAACAGTCAGAAGACATTAATGTGCTCTGTTCCCCCAACTAAGGATAAAAGATGGCCTTCTAGAGAGCCAGATCTGAACTGAACAAACAGTGGTAACACTCAAAGCTGTTAGAAGACACAAGGTTCTTTGTTAAGTAATAATTACTGTAATGATACACATTTTATCTCATGTGTAATGAGTTTAATAGTTTAGCCTTTGGAAGAACAGTGAGCTGCTTTGTATAACTTAACCTTTACTTGTATGTTTAAATTGGTTTTCCTCCTGCTTCTTTCATTTGAAGTGGTCTGAGTATCACATAGGTTTTAGGTCAGTTCCAGCAAAGTTCCTCCTTGTGTCTCCTTGCTTGTGTTCCCTATGCTTTCTCTCTAGTTCAAATCCAGATCAAGCCAACTCTCATGTTAATCCTCTCATACTAAGAATCTTTCATGTTTGTTCATGTCTTAATATGATAACAGAGAATCTGTTCTCTGTACTTAAAAAATACCAATACCACACATGTAACAAAATTGCACCCCACATGCGTAATCTTAGCTGTGCTTTTGAGAGAACAGCATATTCCATTACCTCATCAGCCAGAAGAAAAAGTTTCTCTTCCCAAGCAAAGTGTATCACATCTTCAATGCACTTTCTGTTTTGCACCTGTCCTATAGTTTGATTTTTAAAGCAAGAAGAAAGTTAGTTGGAGCATATATATACAACTCTTTTTGCCCAGGCCTAGTTATACTACTAGCTTTTCAATAAGATACCTCTCTTTCTCAGAAAAGTGCTACCGAATTTCAGAATTCAATTCACTAAGTGTGCAATTAAGGAACATTTTTGGAGGAATTACGGTTCAAGGTAACTTGGTCCATCTCAAGCAAAGAAGTGTGAGATACAGTAATCAATCAGTAACTTACTAAGAGTACTCTGTATAACTGATCATTTGAAATACTCGCATGATGGTTAAGTGGGAGCTAGTTTCTCGCTAATCAACGTCAACTACTCAAAAAACTCAGTTCTTCTGAGGGAAGCAGTGGTTGCCACTGAGTTCAGAGTGTATCTGTAGTCATTGCCTCTCAGAGGCAAGAGGCTACAGGCCATGTCAGAGAGAAGATCTTTGATAAAGACCAAAAGTGACTGAAAGTCATTCCACAAGTCTGCAAAAGTTCAGTGGAAGCAGTGGCTTCAAACGGGATCCAGTGAAGTGAACCGGCTTCCTCCTCTCTTCCCAAATCCCTGGAGTTCCAGGATACTGAAAATAAGTTTCTAAAAGTATGACATACTATCCTACTTAGAGCACTGATCTCTAGAATTCAGCTTTACACATTTGATACATATTTAGGATTTGCCCACAATGTCAAGTGAATGAAAGGGGAAAACAAAAAATTGGTCTTAAAACCCATCCATTAAATAAAATGGCTATAGACCTGTAGGATTTCCAGGGTTGATGATGCAGAGGACTTTAGGATTGCAGTATGCCTTAGCTTCATTCAAGGAACGGCGAAGTTCATTCACATCTAGAGCCCAGCAATTTTCTTCATCCAAGTAGTAGTTCACCTGGATAGCATCTAGTTCAGATATGGCTGCTGAATATAATGGATATTGTGGTATAGGGATCATCACTCCTGTTCGAGATTTTCCACCTCCTGAGACCAGGATCTTTAAAATTGTCTGAGGACAAAGTGGGAATTAAAAAAAAAAAAAAAACCCACACACCAGAATTAATAGTATACTCTAGAAAAAGTTACTGATCTTCCTTCTTAAAAAATCTAGAGTTAAAGTAGATTTCTATTCTAGAAGCATACAGTCATTTTCTCGTATCAAAGGGCGTTTATTTCTTTCAAGTTAAGTTACTGGCTGAGTGAGGATGGCCCAACTCAGCTTAATGGAATTCCTCTGCATGTCACGGCTTCTGAAGATCATGTCTGATCAACTGCAAAATTTAGGAAAAACATTCTGAGCGCAAGGCTAGAGGGAAAGTTGGAAACAGGAATATCAAGATCATGATTTTTGTACTGTGCCCAGTTTTAAGCAAAGAAGCCTCAGCTAGTTGTTGCTTGTTGCCTTCTACTCATTTTATCTCACCAAACACAAGAGGCCAATAAATAAAACCAGAAATTAGAACTGGGGCCTGTGGAGCTTCTCCTTTGGAACAGAGACCTATTTTAGATTAGGAGCAATTGTGGCCACGTGGGAACAAAGCTAGAGACTCACATTATGGTTTCATTTTCAAGTAATAGATGAGACCAAAAGTCTGCATGTCTTGGGATGGAAGCCTAATGTAGCACATGTAGTTTACGCCCAGAAGATAGAGATAGAAATGTAATGCTTGTGCTAAGGTCAGTCCAGAGGATTTACCTGTGCCCAACGGATGTGTGTCTGTGTGTGTCTATGCGTAGGCTTTTTACATGTGAATTAAATAAAAGAGTGAATTTGGTGCAGGAAGTGGAGAGATTTCTTGCCTTTATAATCAAGGGAGAACTCTGAAGTACAGATGCAATCAAAGCAGGCATCCTTATTGACATGTAATTGATAGTGCAAAACAAAAAATATCTCCTCAGATATAACAGTGGTATCCTTTAAGGTTCTCACTGGTCCTAGAACAAAATCTGCCTTTCAGTGCCTCTCATCACATACTAACTCAGCTGCTAAGCTAATGATTGATAATCAACATAATTTTGTACCCACCACTAGTTTAAAAATACCAAGCATCCAAAATGTATAATCAGGACCAAATGCAAATTTAAAAACTCTTTAAAAAACCCTCTGTCCCCCAGGTTGTGAAACAATAGTTGTTTTATCCTTGGAAGTGCCAAATAATGAGACTCATTGTACTGCTGACTTTTCATCACTGGTGAAATCAAACAAGCATGGTACAGATTTGATATGCTACGCTGCCATTCCTGACAAGCTGCCAGTCTAACGCTTGGCATCATAAACTCTGCAAAGCCAATTCACAAAAGACATCTGGAGAACTGTTCATGCCAGAACGTCATTCTGAACTCTGCCACTAGATGTCATTTAAAAAAAAACTTCTACAAACAAGCTATAAAAGGCTGCCTTAATAAAAGCAAAGAACTTCTGGTTCTTGTAATATCAGTAAATATGCCTGTGTAAAGGAAAAATCTAATAGAGACAGCTATTCCTGTCTTAACTAATTAATTAACTGTCTTAACTTTGAACCTTGGTTGAAGCCAAAACCTGAAGTTTTTCCCAAACAAGCTGGCTACTGAAATATATCTTTCAGTAATAAACTGGCACTAATCTGCACTAGCAGAGAAAGTTTACTAAGAAGATGAGCTGCTGAGACTTCTCACCTCCGAGGTCATTCCCTCTTCTCTCTGCCACTGATTCATACCCTCTAATCTTCAGTGCTTATGTATCTTAACCACTGAGGACACCATTATTTAGTCTGAATCTCCTAAATTTATATTTAGGCACCTATGTAGTTTATACCACCTTTACAAAAGGTACAAGTTAATGTATATTAAGAGACTTTGTCTCCATGCGCCTGTTTCTTAGCCTGGCATCTTACATCCACATAATTGGGTGTATTGGCTATCCACTTAATGTGACTTCAGGATCTCTTAGATCAAACTCACACGAGTTTGTGAGACCAGGTGTTCAACAGAGATCTGTATTTCCAAAGGTAACTGAGAAATTAAACTGATTAATATTTTATACCAAGAAGAGACAGGTTTGATTTTAACACTTACAGCAATACCATCACTTGCCCCAGTGGTAAGATATATGTTATCTGGATCTGCAGGAACCCCTCCATCTCTTCTTTCAATATATGAAGCAACATCTTCACGGATGCAATTTATACCTTGACTGGCACTGTAAGATCCTGTGAAAAACAGAGAATGAGATGAGAATTGAGTACAATGAACATCAGATTTTCTCTTTGCTAGCAAACTCCTGAGCTAGTATGGTATAAAGTAGTTTGTATATATGAGGGCTTCAGATCCCCAGGATGTGGTTATTCTCAAGGAGTAGGAAAGGGAGTTGGTTCATTCATAGAGCAAAATAATTCATTTGGAATTAGACAAATATAATAAGTGTAACTAAAATACAAAAATAATATACTGGACTGGTAAAAAGTAGTATTTAAAGGCTGTTTTGCAAGCTGGGACAGCAATCCTGTTTTGACTATTTCCCAGTTACTTTATGTTGAAAACCACTTCAGAATGTCAACCAACACCTATTTAAGTAATGGAACAAGCAACAGAGGTAGCTTGTGCAATAGAAAGGAAAATAACTTCTTCAAATCCATGACAAAAGTAAGATTTCTATTTGCAATATGAAATAATATAATACCATTTTCTCCCACAGTCTGACACCCAAAAAATCCTAAACTGCTTCTCTCCCTGCCCCAGCGTCTCCTGCAACAGCTTTTCAGTTACTTGTAGCAGAAACATCTAGGATAACCCCAATCTGTAAGCCTCATGTGCAGTTTACAGACCACATCTAATACTCTTAAATAACATAAGATGTTAGATGCCTGTGTGCATCATTGCTGAGCATGTGCAACAAATAAAGAGTAAAAATAAGCCTAAGCCAAGGTGAGGAATGGATTCAAGCTATGAAGCCTAAGACCAATGGACAATGAAGTGACGAAGTGTACATCTAATTCAGAACACTGTCATGAAGCTGCAGAATCTTCTTTGCTTGTTGGGTGGAGTGGAATAATTGTGCCTGACTCAAGACTCGTCACTCAGTTATATGCTAGTAGTCTGCCTGATAATACTTCTGTGAAAGCATAATTTATAAAGACAAAGAACTTTTGCAAGTACTGCACAATTGCATGGGACAAAATGGTAATTCGGGGCACAAAGTTCCCTGATGTCCTAAACATTTACTTTTATAGGACTAAAAGTTATAGTGGGTCTTTGACCATAGATAGGAAGCTGCTGTTAAAGTCGGAGAACAAACCTAAGCTTTCATTCGGTCTTGTGCTCCATTGAGGGCTGAGTCCCACGACTCAGTGAGGATATACAGAGGACCTGAATTCAATTTTCAGGTCTTCTACACTTAATTGTACTCGACTGATAGCTTTGACTAGAACCCATCTGTTTGCACTGTGGGATGCAAATAAATAAGCCCAACCCAAAAAGCAGCATGTGCATATATTAGACATTTTTATATATAGGAGAACAGTAAATTTCTCAACTGCCTGGAAAGATATGAGAGTTATCCCACATGCAAAGTAAGTGATGTCAAAGGAGTCCCAGAGTATTCGATCACAACAGAAGTTCAGGACATACCTGAGCCTTCATACATGGTCTGGGAGTAGCAAGACTCAATACTATGAGTAGGGTTTTGCCAAATGAACGTTCATTGGAACTGAGGTTATTCTAGTTCATATCCAGAGGACAAGACGTTCATAGTAACTTTGGAATTAATACATTTAAATAGGCTGGTATAGATGTAGGTACAATGCTTCAAATAGCTTGACCATATGTAGTGAAGCCACTTCTGTGTTGGATTGATGACTTTTTTGAAAATAAGGTTTTATTAGAACACAACACAAAACTTAAAGCTACATGGAGGGATCAGTTTTTGACCTTTGCTTTTTCCCAAGAAAGGCAGTTTCTCCTTCTCAGCCATGAAGAGGACAGCAGTAAGTTGTCAGACTACCAACAAAGTGATAGGAGTAATTTCCATTCAGCTGCACTTGCCTCAGACTGCGTGTTTATGGAGTGCTGTACAGAGGCTGATGAGCAACTGAGGCCAAGAGAAAGGGCTGATACACGATACTGGAGACAGGGAGGGTGGAGAGAAGGCATAAACCAGTACAGCAGATCAGTAAGGTCTACAGTGGGTTCAGTTTTCAGGAATTTAGAGGGACAGGTGTTCTTGGTACATATCATATCAGGAAAAAATCATTTAGACTCCAGTTACTTAGAGAACTGCAATTTATGCACTGAAATTCAAAGGGTGTATTCAGAATGATCATCTTATTTGAATATTGCAACTGTTTCAGGCCTGCTTCCTCAGTGTCTACTGAGCTAACGCAAATTACTTGAAATATGCAATCTTCTGCTGAAAAGGGGATTTTGTATAGAGTCAACATATTTCAGAAGTATCATGCAAGGCTGAATTCCTTTCATTTCACTCCAGCACGGGGCCAAGACCCTGCATTCTGGGAACTCTTACCATGTCCCTGAATTTGAAAATCACTATAAAGAAAGATCGAGGCAAAATTCAAATGTATCTCCAGTACCTCTTATATGACAACTAGTACTATGTGGATAATTGTTCCAAAGTAAGCCAGGAAAGGAATTCATGGAGGTAGAGGAACTTCTCAGTTTTGATAAACGTATTTTTAATGTTCTACATATAGAAACAAAACCAATGCAAAAAAGGTGAAGATAAAATACATTCTGTATTAGGCTGTGTTGTTAGGAATAGTCCAAGGCTGAAATACTGCTAACATAACCACTATTTAGGTTTTGTTTATTTTATTAAGTTTCACAGCACCTATTCTCAAAATATGCCAGTGCAAACAGGCACTGCAATCACAAAGATTAAGAAAGATGCCAATTACTCTAATACGTACTCTGAAATGTCACTGTTAGCCTACCTGAAAGAAGGTAATTAAGTGTGCCAGATTCTTTGCCGTACCCAGCAGCTGTAACACTATCTGCGGAGTAGAAATTCTAGTGGCATTTCCCTGGTAAAAGTAGGCAGTACAGTTGCTAGCTGATAAAGAATTTGTCTCTCCCATTTCCTCTCTACTGAACATGCAAAGTTTGTACTTATTTATGTGTATATTATACATATACTCTTGCAGGAACAGTGGTTGAAGAACACAGTTCTTTAATCCTTTCAAGGGTTGTTTTACCTTGGAGAAATAAGGCTTTGACACCTTCAGTTAAAACTATCTCGGCTAAGTAAAAAGCTACCACCTTTCAGCTGTGTAGCTTTCCCTTCACAGAGCATTATCGCCTTGGTACCTGAGTTTCTGATACCCCAGTTCATACCCTGACAGACATGCTTGGACTGGTGGTTCGAAATTAAGATACAGAACTGTGAACTGGATCAGCTGAGACGGACATACATTGTTTGTTGATACCATTGTTACAGGAACAGTAGACTCCTTGGCAGAGAAACACCTAGAGGTAATAAAATTCTAAACAGCTCCACCGAGACTTAGCAGGAGACATAGCTGTCAGAGCCCAGGATTAACAGACGTCGTAAGAACAGTAACAAAGCTTCACTAGTACTCTCTGCCACTTACTTTTCTAATACAAAAAAGTTCAGCATTCTGTTTAGGGTTATGCCTAGATGTTATTGTGGTGAGGGCTCCATAACTGTATAATCCTCATCTTGTCCTCTTCTGTGACAAGTCTCATCAAAAATTTGCACTGTTAGTCACTGCTTATCAGTAGGCCACACCATGAACTCTCCCCCCATCATTTTGCCCTAGGTCGTCTCCCATTGACTTGCAATTATATAAAACGTGATTAAGAAATTTTAGCACTACAGATACTGAAACTACCTTTGTTGATTCTAATACCAACAGGAGCAACTGAAACAGATGCTTACCTAAGCTGTTTCCTCCACAACCCTGCAAGATCCGTCTGGCTCGCTTTTTGGCATCTTCTGGAAAACTTGGGCTGTCCAACAGGTTTGGGTATGTACACAGTGCCACTACCTAGAGTGCCAAGAAAATGTAAATTGGCCACTTCCCAGTGGTTATTTTAAGTTGGTAATATTACTGTTAACTTTCCTTGGAAATGAAGATCACAAATACTAGCTAATTTAAAACAAAGGTTATTGATGAAGAGTTTGCAGTTGTTTTTTTTAAGGGTAGTGCTTACAGAAGTGAAGAAATCTTATGGGGTTCCAAGTTCTGCTGATAAAAACAGTTATAGAATTATTAACTATTTGTGTTACAGACAGCGAAGACTGGAGTCCAAGTGAGCTATGCATAGTGCAAACACAGTAAAACACAGTTAATTATTCATATGTTATCTCTAAACAGCTCTATCCTCCACTCTTTGTGTGTTACTAGCCTGCTTTATTGACAAGAAATCAAGAGTTTAAATATGGAGCAGAACTGAGAAATATGACCAAATTTTGAAGTCCCAGTTGCATGTTCTAATAATCCTTCCCAAAAATAACTTATTGTTATTACTAATTTGAATTTGTGAGAAATACTTAATGAAAAAAGAAGTGGTGATATAGAACATAGTAAAAGTAGGAACATGACCTAGCAGAATTATGTTTATGAAGGAATATAAGACACAAAGAATCCAGAGGTCTTTCTTGAGATCAGCTTAATTTGTTCCAGTCTATCTCTCATCTTTATGCTTACGAGGGGTAACATGGATAGGCTGTTGCCATCTTGCAGGACAATGACTAAAGAATTAATCCATGTGCACACACAGTCATGGAGAGAAAGGATTTCCCATTTACGCAGTATTTTCTTTAATAACATTGGATCTGAGTAATTTGTTAGAAGCTCTGGTCTTCCTAGTTTGCTGACAGTTTGTTGTAATAGCAGAGTTTTATAATCCTGGACCCCCAGTTCGGTATGGCTTCAGTTTGTCCTGGAATGCTCTGAATTTACATTATTATAGACTGAGGATTTTACATGTGTGTGTAAGGCATGCTCAGTAAATAGCACGCTACTAGTTTTAAACCTTGCTTGTGTTTTAGGAATAATATACAAATGAGGATTCTGTTGTAGTCTTTCCAGAAGTTAACCTACCAGTTAGCTTGTCCAGAGGTAAAATGTGCAAAATCAGCAACGGTACAACTAGTTGCACCCAACTGCGTGCAGATCTTAAAGTATACTGTCAGATGAAGAAAGGCATTTGCTTTTTTTCTTTGAGGACAACCACTGCGTTGTTTGAAGTGCATTATTGATAATGAATGTGCTGACTGATAACATAGGAGAAGTGGCAGGAGAAAGCATGGATGGGGAATGATCTGAAAAGTAAGGAAAGCTACTGTGTTGAAAGAGGAAGCTCAGCAAGCAAGGTATAGGACTTCGCCTCAGAAATCAAAATCTGTAATTTTTTAAAAAAGAACTATTTTAAGTCTTAAGTGCATCTAGGGAATCATTTATACTAATATACACATCAGACAGATTTTAAGGCATTCTTGGTAATCTAATAAAAAATCAAAAGTAATATTTTATAATGTTCTTACCTGACGGAGGAAGGTGATTGGCCTCTGTCCCATTGCATGTGCATCTCCAATGTTGGCCTTAATTACTTCAGTAAAAGGTTTTTTGATTCCCTAAAAAGAGAGAATTCACAATGTACTGTTAGGGCTGGTGATAAATAATTCCTCTTTTTTTGGTATCTGTCATATGGCTGTAACTAAACAGTGCCTAGTCTCACAACAGATAGAGTGTTTAATGTAAACCTTAATGCATTTCTTATACAATGCTGCCAGTAAATCTTAAATGCTTTACAGAAATGATGCTGACTGTGACACATTTTTAAATGATAGGCTGACTTTTTTTTCCTGCTAGCTACAAGTAAGAGATTGACTTGCCTGGAAACTACACGTTGAAGTAGAAAAGATGAAAAAGAGGCATTTTGAATCGTCAATATTAGAGTAACTTGTTTGATACACCTAAGGGAGGGATGGATCAGTCAAGATGCTAAAAAGATTTGAGGACATCCACCAGCAAAAGAAACCTCAAGACCTTTAGTACTTTTTAGAGTAAAAAAAGATACTGCTTGCTTACTTATTTTGTATTTAGATTAAATATGCATTGTGTGATGACCCCACTTTTCCATATACAGATATTTTACAAAGTATATCATAGTGAAGCTCTATATGACAAACAGCAGAAGTGCTAAATAATCACCATGAATATTTAAAAGCTTCCTAATCTCTGAAATCGGAACAACCACCCATTTTTCCTGTGAGGAGCTGAATACATCATGAGAACAGAGGGAAAACAGTTGATAAACGTTGATTAGCAATTACAGCTCTTTAAAAAGCAAAATAAAATAATGGAAAAAAGGCAAGGAACTGACTGGTAGAAAAAAACCACCATTGATTTAAATAGAAAAGATTAACTGAAAGTAAAGGCCAACATTACAAGAAGAATAAATGAGGTAGGCAACAACAAATGTATAGCTTTTCTAATGTATATTTAAGTATGAGAGATGGTAGGGAGGCCTTCTAACAGAGACGGAATTTTCATGTGGACTAATGAACTGCAAAATTAGACCGATCAGTTTTCTGTACAAAATTACATATAACAACCTGCTCTGGCTGTGGACTGAACTCACAAAGCCTCTTCCTGGCCCATGTATTTACAGCAAGTTATTGGCTTTGGATATAGAATATGGCTGGCAAGCCTTAACTAATTTTTGCTTTTCCACCATGGATTATGTGTTGGACTTCAGTGACAGACCAGAACCCAGATGTGTAAAGACAACAATGACCAAAATATTAGTAGTCACCAGGGATACAAATTCCCAGGTATGCCAAGATTCGGAGGTTTACAGCTGCGTAATGTGGCTCAGAGGTTATGTGATAATGTGATTCAAACCCCCACTGCAGATCCACTCCTTCATACAACTGAGCATTTAGTTTTTTCTTTTGAAATTAAATAGGTAGTTAGAAATGGCATTAAAACAAGACAATTGGACTTAACATGATCCTGACTCAAAAGGGTCAATTTTATATGGCCTTAAATTTAGCAGGAGTTGAAAAAAATGTTCACTTAAAATAAATGAAAGTGACACACTGACTCCATCAAGTCATTTGCTTTTATGTTTGCTGATCTAAGTGAGTGCCTAAGTAAGAGCTGTATTTCAACCTTACACAAAGAATTAGGAATAGGGATGCCAGATAAAGATTACAAGTATCTGAGGCTGAAGTTTAGCAATTGATGAGCAATGCAAACGGCTAGAAATAGGTTCCCTTGAGACTATCTGGGGTCCACTGATAGCACAACATTGTTTCATTCTAATTTACAAATAAACCGGAAAAGAAAGACACATGTAGGAGGAGACAAATTCAGTTTGTGTGAAATTAAGAAAAATTCCCACAGATTTTGGTTGCATTTGGTCCTTCTTACAGCAAACTGAATCAGTCTCTTTAGATTTGTGCAGTAATACAAATTTGTTAAAGAATAAGGGATGCCTTAAGTTAGGCAGTCTAAAAAAACGTAGCAGTTCTCAGCAATAAGATGAAACAAATACCGTTTTACCAGGTTAAAGCCAGAACAAACAAAACCCCTAACAACATAAATGTATTATGTGAGACAAATTAGATCGTTTTTGCACACAAATACTATTGTGATCTGCAATAAAGAATAGTTGCTTCTTTAGTCAGTGAAATGCTGAAAGGTACCCTTGCATTTCATAAAGTACCTTTGGAGTTTTTATAGTGGTACAGCCTTTAAAACAAAGGTAACGGATCCTTCTGGTGTCTGTGTCAGGTTTATTGTAAATAATGTTGTAGCTTGTTAGCATTGATACCATCCAGATCTCTGCTAGTGCCAAACTCAGTGTTTATGCCATCACTGCCTTTGGCCATCAACTGCAAGTATATAATCATCACCTACTCCATAAACCCCACACTACCAGAAAATAGGAAAACATACGTAACAGTTATCTTACTGTAAAATCCTGGTAGAGAAGGAACAGCTAGGTTTTCTGTGTTGTACCTGCTGTTCCCACATACCTGCTTAAAGGCCTGTGGTCCTCTTGAGTAACTTGTATTTCTTGGTCTCAGCTACAAGAGCTGTTGCCCTTTTTGTCTTTCAAAAGAGAGATGCTTTTAAATAACTGGGGCCTTTGCCTTCCCTGACAATGAGTTAATATCTGCAATTGTTCAGAACTGTCTTCACAAGATTCATTATATCCCCTCCTAGTGAAACCTAGAAAAAAATTGTTATGACTACTTAGGTTTTTTCTCATCTTTTTCTATTACTTGCTTTCCAGTCTTTCTATGGAAAGAAGGAATATCAGAAGTTGTTCAGATTTAGTTTTGATTCCTCCAGAACAAAAAGTTGCATCATACCATTTTGGAAAGAAGGAACAGGAAACAGTTACAGGCAAGAGCAAGTGTCAGATACTAATGAGTCAAAGTTTCAAAGTAAGAGTATCAGAAGCGGGCATGAAGGAATGTCTAAGACTGTGCCTATGACTCTACAGATGAGTTCAAGGTGGAATTCTACTTAAATCCTTAAGACAGAGTGGCATTAGTGACTGGTTACTTGTATCAAGGTTTCTTCTATGGTGATGGCACTGATATGCATGGGTATCCAAGGGAAGATTAATGTCAAATACTTTTTGGAAGGTCTATGAAAAGATCTGTATAAAAGGAGGAAGTGTGAATGTGATGTTGATGACCTCAACATCGGGTTGTAGAACAGCAGAAAAAGTGCTGCAACAGGACATAGTTTGTTAGGGCAAGATTTATTTCACTGCAGAAGGCTAAGCAGTCTTTGACCATGTCAGCAACATGCCTGTGCTGAGACAATTTAACTCCCTGGCAAGCCAAGGAACATACAAGGGGAGCAGAAACTAGGCCATTGGAATTGTTTTGCTTTCTTCTAGTGAGAGAGAGCTGCCCCGCCACCCCGCTTCTCTCTCTCTCCCCTTTTCTTATTCTCTGCCTTTCCTCCCCACCCCATGTTCACTCTCATATTCTCTCTCTCTCAGTACGGGCAGGCGTTCAAGGTGTGTTCTAGAGGCAGTCTGACTGGATTGTAACTGGCCTCTGCCAGCAGGCAGAAATTTGGAAGAGTGAAGCTTGCAGAACAGGAGTTCTAACAACAAACTCAGAAGCAGTTAAGTACCAGATTGATGCTCATGTCTACTGAAGAGGGTATGAACCACATCAAGGAGGAAGACCATTCCCCAGCCCTACAAAACAACCATTGCTACAGCCTTCTTCCTTTGGTGGCACCTCACACTGTCCTAACAACATGATTCATCTTCATGTTAGGAACAAAGCCAATCTTCCGCCACTCTTTTGCAATTGTTAGCACAGGGACTAGTTGTAGTAGCCATTTTTAAAGCTGAAGAAGCCATCTTGCACTTTCAAATTCAGATGTAAAGCAGAAAATATAAAAAAGTGTTCATTTTTTTTTCAGTTGCTGTCTGCTTGAGAATGAAAAGATTTTAATGGAATAAAGGAATCTTCCCACATTTGGAATAAGCTCTTTGGAAATCAGTTCCTTCAGCAGTTACTTCTGTCACTCTCCTTTCCTCAGAGGAAATGCAGTCTTTTAAGAGACCAGATGAAAAGCCTCTGAAACCTGAAGCAGGTCAGACAGGGTTATTCTATCAAATGTATCAGTGTTCTAAGTATCATACAAAGTTGGGAGAAGGGGTTTTCATAAGCGAACCAGAATTCATTGGTGCAGAGTCAATACAAATCTTTATGTAGTTAACCATGTTTGGAGAAGCTTCCTCTTCCCCTAGACATCCCCATGGCCTCAAGAAACCCAACAGGTAAGGAGTACAGTATGAAATTATGAGCTGTCACTAAGGAGAGAGTCACCATGCAAGAAGTATTGGGAGAATTATTTGATCAAAGAAATTATATGATGCCAGAAGATAGACTACGCCAATCCCAAAGAACTGACATGAAGACAAGGCACTGCCAGGAGCTGGTTTGTCTCTTAGGAGTTTTAGTATGCCTGGAGGTTCCCTTTATGATGGTGCCATCTAAGAATACTGGCAAATTGCAAAATAACACTTCTGCCAGAAAGAGTAAAGAAGGGTGCAAACTGACCTAAAGCTGTCTTTGCTAAAGTCTTCAGCAAATTTCAAAGGAAAACCCTCAGTCTGTAGAGAGGCTTGTGTGATTTGGATTTGGTAATGGCGATAAGGAAAGAACGGAAAAGGGTTCCCTTGCGGAGGCCATGAGAATACGAGGTGCTTTTAATCCCAGAAGAGCAACATGGTATTTCTGCTATTTCTGAATTTCAGAATTTGTCCACTCTTGGCTGCTCCTCATTGTTTCATTTTCATTGCCATTGCTTTGTGCCTCCTCTTGATGGTTATCGGGCAATAAAATCACACTATGAAACATTGTGCTATTTCCTTAGCACAAGCCGAGTCTGGTTTTGCTGTGACTTGCACAAACAAGCTGTATAATAAGAGAGCTGGCAAAACCAAACATTTCAGCATAGTTGAGATCTATGCTGTAGTAGCCAAGTTGCTTGCTTGCTTCCCCTCCTGCCTTTCTCAAAGGGCCAAGAAAGCACTACCCAGAGGCCTTTAACTAATAGGGACTTGAAGGCCTGAATTAGC